GGATGAGTCGGCATTCATAGTGAATACGAGTGACTCGGATGTGGAGTCGACTCGGAAGAAGGCGCCGAAGAAGAGGATACGAAATGTGGGCTCAAAGTCGAGTTCCAGTGAAGACAAGTCCGACTCCGGCGATGATCACTCGTCTGACGAGGACTCGGATGTGTTTGACAAGTACTCGAGTACTCGGTCTCAGAGGCAGAAGGAGAATGAGATGAAGAAACGCGAGAAGAACGAGAAGCTGAAGAAGCGAATGGACGATAAGAAGAAGAGGAAACGCATGGAATACAACTCGCCCTCTGATTCGTCACAAGACAACGATTCCGGCGAAGAGAAGCGTCTGAATTGGAGGAATTGGAAGTCAAAGTCAAATCCGCCCAAAAAGAGGGTCCGACGGATAGTATCGGACGACTCGGACGATAATGAAGTGAACGGCAATCGCGACCACAAGTCTCTCGATGAGTCGCACCCGGAGGTGACCACTACTGGTGCCGTCCATCTCGTGGAAAGCGATGACGACATTGAGTACTTGGGGTCTGTGCCCGCGAGTCAGTCCACTGTTGTCCGCGATTACTATAGACAATGTATAAAATACGGTATATTTATGATCCATTTCCCCATTATTTTGATTCTTATTTCAATTGCTTATTCAGTACTTGTGACCCAACCTATAGTACTGACTATAATTGAGGGTCAGTTTGTTAATAGAAATCATAGGGTTTTTATTGCATTTAAACTAATTGTTTACTAGATATGACCCAAAACTGCCCTCAATTATAGTCTACTTCTATGTACCAAATGTGTAACGATTTGTTTAAATCTAATTTACAGGGGATTTAAGTTCATCGGACACCGAAAGTGATGCAACCGTTGATCCCAACCCTATAGAGACATCCGATGAGTTGGTGCCAGAAGTGGCGCCAATAGACCACCGGAACAATGAGGCGGTGGCCAACCCCACCACTCCTCCCACGCCCGTTGATGTGGGCACTCCTCAAGAGAGACAGTCACCCGACTCGCAGAATATGATTCCTAATGATATGATGTTAGACGCGATGAGTGAATCGAGTCTAGAAAACCTGTTGTTTGACTTACAGCAAAGGAGTGATGATATTAGCGTTATTAGTGATACCCCTCAACCGGCAATCTCACAGCCAGTGGCCAGTCAGGCGACCGGTGCTTTCAAACCACAACCGGACCCCTTAAAAGTCTTGACACCCGCTGAGGTTAGTACTCGCAATCGATTCGTAGTTTTAATAATGATTTTATTTTTTTAGGGAAAACCAACAGCGACTGTGGCACCAGTGCAGCCAAAGCCTGTCATACCTGCGCCCCCTCCGCCCCCGCCACCCCCTCCTCAGCCACAACTGCCTCAGTATTGTGTCAGTGAAAAGAGAATCAAATGTCCGGACAAAATGCCATTCAGACAATACATGGTTAAGAATGGTGTGCAACACACCATCGAAGCGCCCCCTAAACTACCTCCGGAGGTGTTCATCAAAGTCATTCATTCAAGTGTTACACTAAACAAAGGTATGGCACCTGTAACCTGTTTAGTATTAATTAGTTTTTGTTTGATTACAGTGAGAAGACTGTTAAACAGTGACAGCGATGACATCGAGACACTAGAAGAGACACTTAAAGTACCCCTCAATTGTCCGGTAATTATTTGATTTGATTTGATTTGTTTTTTGGGTAATTATTTGCATTTTAATTGATTGTATTTTTGTTGTTAAGTTATCTTATCAGAAATTGTTAGTTCCGGGCCGTTCGGTCAACTGTCCACATATTGACTGTTTCGATGTCAATAACTTCTTGGAAATCAACTTCAACCGCAAGATTGATGACTGGAAGTGTCCGAAATGCAAACAACCGGCCAAACTCGAGCACCTCATCATTGATGGGTTAGCCACTCGAAAGGCTTGAGTTTGAAACCAATTTGTAATTAATTTTATATATTTAATGACAGTCTCATCGATCATATCCTGAATATGACGCGAGCGTTGAATATGTCAGACGTGGATTCGGTTACGTTTGACAACAAAGCCATTTGGAGACCTGATGTCAAACGACCGGATAATTGTATGCAAATTCTTGCCATTTGTTTAATTGCATGAATTGTTTAATAAAATATTTTTGCTATTTAGTGGTCAATAAGAGTAACGAAAAAGACGTCATAAGTCTCGACGCGACTCTAGAGTCACAAGAGATCATAGATCTGGAGGACGACGACGACGAGGAGGTACCGGATCCCATCGCGAAGACGAACCAACTCTTGAATTCAATCGCATTGAAGACCATCGCGTCGGCGAAGGATATCCAGAAGAATATCTCGAAATTTATTCAAACAAATAAACAGAATTCGAGCGCAACTTCTGGAGGTAATGCCGATAGAGAGTTGTCTGTAAATACAATTCTTAACTTCTTAACAACTCCAGCGCCCAAAACGTCAGCACCGGTACCCCCACGACCGGCGGCCGCCTCACGACCCCCGCCCGCGCACGCAACGGGACGGGCAGTACCCGCCACAACAGCCGGCGCTCAACAAGTGTCGCGCATTCATATCGTGATACCTAATAATAAGGATCAAAGGCCGGCCGCCACCGCTAACTCTCGGCCACAAAACACAGTCAGGATATCGTCGAACCAAAATCCAACTCCCATTGCGTTTAATCGGAATTCAGGTGCTGTTAGACAGTCCCCACCCAACGCGTTGACTAACGGTAACCAACAACAGGGTGAACTCCAATTCAAATTCAACAAAGACAATGTGGTCAGTGAGATCTACTGTAAACTCTGTCATTTTACAATCAATGTGTCGAACGTGAGTGATATCCCCAATCTGATGACCTACCACCTCAAGAGTGGGCAACATATGGCCGCTCAAAGCGGTTCTTCCCGTACGGCCGCCAATAATAGCAACGGTTTAGTGAATGGCGTCCACCGACCCAATGCCCCCTCAGCCGCCTATACACAGCACTTCCACTTTGGTTCAGCGACTTATCAAAATCAATATCGGCCCCCAAATCAGACACATTACCCTCTCAACACTAATCAATCGTATAGTGCTGTCAATTATGTCTATCACCCAAACGTATATCAGCAACAAATGAATACCATGTCATCGGTGCCACAACCGGTACCCCCACCACAGACACATTCCGCGCCCGTATTCCAGACATCAGTTCCACAGCATTGGAATACAGGACAACACAATCAGACAAATGTTTACTATCCTAACAATTATTAATTATTGAAATGTTTCAAGTCTTAAAGCATTTCCAAGTGATAGAGACTATGTTTTTTGAGTGAACGCTCATCTCAGTCACCATTGAATAGGTTATTGTTGTTGTGAACACATTTTGTGTCTAACTGTAAATAAAAGTGCCTCTAATTATATTTTTAGCCATTTCTGTATTATTCATTGAATAATAATAACTATTCAACTCATTCATAGAATTCAATACATTGCTAACTTGTTTGATTAAAATTAAAGATATTTTTGATTAACAAATGATTATTTTATTAATTCTGTTTTACAGTATGAAGATTTTTAATTAAAAACAATATGTTTTATTTGATACCCCTTTTATCAATGATTAATGTTTTGCAACGTTTTTATGATTATATTTGAATGAAAATTAAATAAAGTCAATTCAATCAGTAATAATAGATTTAGTTTTTTCAATTAGTCAAACGCAGTGTGTCAAGTTAAAATATAAAAGTTGTACCGTAGGAAACTTTTCTATATCTAAAATTAGTACAGTGTTATGGAATTTTATCCAGGGTATAGTGGTATTTATTATTATACATATGTATCCTACAGTAGTACTGTATGAGTTTAGCAAATATAACTTATAAGTCTCCTAGTCTACTGTTCCCAATTTGTATGTTTAAAAACAACAGCCATATTATTAGGTCAAATGATTTGCCATTTTTTACATCAATTTGAATGGAAATGATTGATAAAATAGCAATTCATACGAATATTTGGCATAAACTTCT